ATTCGTCAAATTCTTGCGGAAAGAAATTTGTTCAGTTTTTTGACGTTTGACTTTTGTGATTTGTTTCTTAAACGTCAAGAAAATGAAATGTATTATTTCTGCACGCTAAGAACGGATTGTCTTCAATAACGTTAAATACAAGAGATCATGGAGTACATGGAGTATTGTCATTAACTGGACTAATTAAATGGTTTACTTAAACAAAAAATATGAAGAAGCAATAAACAAGATGAATAAAACAAGAATATGATAATGAAGCACTCGTTCAAGTTTGGAACTCGCCAAAAGCGTTTTTATTTCAGGCTCTACAACATTTTTTGGTGGTGAAGCCTCAGCTTTAAAGGCTTACAATATATATACTAAACAGTACATATGGGATGAACCATTGCTGATAATTGTGAAAATATTTGTTCAACATTTTTTATGATACGAATAAGAATATCTGATATACGTATTGATTTCGTTTGGGATTGATTCCTTCCTAGACATAACTACATAAATATTAAATACAAGTAGTTTTCAAGAAAAACTACTTTGCGTGGCTGTAAATTTTCAATGATACGGATGGAATATTTATGTTTCACCAAAACCAAATCTGATTGTTACTTCTTTATTGTACTTTTGCCTAGTTGATGATTAGGACTGGGTCTGATCACCGTGTCAAAATTCTTAGCTTTATGTCAAATTCAGCATCTTCACACTTAAGGTGCTATTTCGTTTTTTTTCAATGAAGAATAATTTAACTTTTGATTAGTTAATTCGTTTCAGATTAGGTCATGCATTGTTCAGATACAATGATTATTGCACAATTTTTCTTCATACGTAAATTAATTTAAAGTGGAAAAATAAATTAAAAATAACAATAAATATATAATACATTAAGAAAAATACGAATACTATTCTGCGATAGATAAGTTTCTAACAAGAATGGAGACAAGATGTTGAATATTTGATATTTGGTTTTTAGAACTATGAAGGGTTTAGAATAGCGTATGCCACTCTAGCATGCTATTCATTGTTATTCACATTAAACAAACGGCTAATCTCAGTGCACAAAGGCTTAAAGATCCAAACTGTTGGCACTCGATGACGCTAAGACATTGAAAAATTCTATCAATCTATTGGAGTATCAGTCGTAACAATTGAATCAATTATGTCGTCGCTTATACTTTGATAACAGCTTAGCAACCAGAACTTCTACAAGAGGAGGCTGCGAGACAGGGCTGATAACAATGCAAAGATAAATAACAATTTACGCTGACGGGTCAAAAATTGATAGACACAGCGGTCAGAATCTCTACTGTGAATAGGGATTTATGAATTCTACTATCATTAGATTCTAACAGCCTCTTGCTGCACACATCAACGTTCAAAAAATGAAATCTATTTTTTTTGAGCTTTTTTCCCTGCTCCTGACAGCCACAGACAAAAGTTGGACGTATTATCACTTCTGCTGAACTTCTTCTATTCCTATATCCAGGCTTATCTAGAATTAGACTTGAGTTTTTGAGCGCCTTATTCTTTTATACAATCGGCGATACTTTCAACATTAATATTGGCGAGATGCTTGCTTTTATCAATAATCTGGTTTTAATATGACCAACTTCCTACTCTAATTACGAGGAAATGTACGCAGTTTTCAATTATCTTAGTTTCATCATTTATCTTAATTTCATGAATATATTTGCTGTGTGGTAACTTAGTATAAATTCTTAAGACATTGATTGGTGCTGTATATTAAATTGAACATATTATAACACAATATTGGTGTTCCGAATTTTTTTTTCACTATTATTTATTGCAATTTTTGGGCAATATTCTATTGCTAAAAAGTAAATTAAGCAATTTTGACATAAACATTTTTATTTTCTTTATTTATTTCTATTTATGCAAAGACACTATTGGGATTATCCTTATAAGGGGTATTTAAAATTTTTGTGCATCGTTGCATTTGCAAAATTATTTGATTTTACAAAAACAAATCTCTTTCTTTTGATTCTGCAATTGATTTCCAAGGCAGTAAGAAAGACCATATTTTCAACACCAATTACCTTTTGCATTTGTGATTTTCGAGACTCCATAGTTTCTTTACTGTTCGCTGGGCAACACATAAACGAAACTGTTAAGTTTGGTTGACAATATTTTATAATGTAATCGTGCATAAATACTGTACAATGTTCTAAGTGACATATTAATAAAGTTTTACTTCCGTTTTTACTACCGAATCTGCAACACGTGTTTTGCTGCTGCTTTAACTATTATTTGTAACATAAATACACAAATCTAAATGAACCATTAATTCTACAACAGCAAAATCCAGCACAGTATTCAATATGTTCTGCTTTTCACTTTTTCTTGGCATCATTGAAATTATGTATATCGAATATAAATTATATTTTATAATTAAATATATACAAAAACAAAAATTAATTCTAAATATTTGCAAGACTAATATGCACAAAATGCATTCACAATAATTTGAGTTTGCAATGATGCACATTCAACGATGCACTGACATCCTGAATTCCCCTTTTATTTATCTCTGTTTACGCAAAGACACTATTGGGAACAGTCAATTTTTTGGTATAAAGTGTGAATTGGAGCTATTGCGAAGACCGTATTATTATAACACGGTCTTTGGTATTAGAAACATTTTTTCGAAATTTAGTCAATTTCAAAACCAGAAATGAATACATTTCCAGCTATAAAAATATGTACATATTATAAAAACGCAATGATCGTAAACGTGCCGATACAAAGAACGTAATATTAAAAAGCGTAAAATTACGAATTACGTTCTTGGCATTAAGATGAAATATTTGGCAGATTTTTAAAATCTTAAAAAGTGAACACAAATTCAGTTTTTAGCAAATATCAAATTAACATTAGCCATTAGATAATTAAATATTAATTTTTCCTTAAAGTAAAGAAATACAAGTCCGTTTGTATGTAAGATTTTTATGTTTTTAACTAAATTGAATGGTTGAGTTATGAATGAATATTAATTTCTAATATTATTTTCAAAAATAATTGTCATTTTCTTGTCGCTTTTCTGGAAATTTAAAAATTGTTAATTTTTTGTGTTTATTTCTACATTTGATAAATAATTCCAAACTCATGAAGCAAACGTTTAACCGCCATCCGCGCGCGCCTTAAAACATTCATTGATTAAACTTTTGTTTACTACAAAATACGCAGCTGCAAAATTTGGTCCAATCAAATATGCGCAGACAGACAAACAAAAAGACGAACTAAGGTCGAACTACTTGCCTCATCGAAAGGCGGGACGGCTGTGGTGAGACAATCGTAGAACGCATATGTCTTCTATTTTGTTCTTTTGATTTTTAATTGTGTTTGTAGTCTCATGTTCCTTTCTTCGAGGATTTACTTAAAGGTGAACATATGATTATTTATGCCAGCCTCATCCTGCTGCGGTAACAGTAAGCTGCGTTCCTCGCTTCGTCAGAACACCTTTAACGCAGCTTCTTCACTTTTAGTTCGATTCCATGTAGCCATGAATGTGCGCAGTACTACTGCGAAGTTGAAGAAACATAAAGAAGACACAACCAATGCTTCATTGCCTGCATTTTTTATAAATTCACACTGCTGCTGTTGTTATTGGTTTTGCTTATTATTTATCTTGAAGAGTTTGTCGCTTTTTATGAGCATTTTACGCACCATCTGTCGATTTGTCGATTCCTTGTTGTTGTCTTATTACGGATAGTTGCAATGAAATAACATACTCAGCAATGAGTGTGTCTTCTGTTTTAGGTAAGAGTTTCATTACTAAGGTAGAATAATTTTAAGCACAAGTGATAGTAGCGGTAACTGAATTACTGAAAACTTGGTTATGGTTTGGTACTGAAATCGAACAATTCTACACTGAACAAAATTTTCAGACACAAAAATCTTTTGATATCTCGATAAACCATATTTGTCCATTAAGCAATGGCGGATTAATATAATTAAGTTCTATAAGTTCTTATGAAGATATCACTAACACACTTTATATATTTAGTGAGATTTTTAAGAACGGTATATATGTTCGCAAAATGGATAATGAAAAATTTATGTAAATGCAGTTGAAAGGAAAAAGAAAACTTTATTGGAAAATAGAATGCCAATTTCTTTTTACTCTGATTTTCTACCAAAATATGAAATCAGTGACCATATAGCCTCTGCGCCACAAGCAACTATTGAACCTTTAACCTTTAAAATCTACATACTAAATTAAATCCATGAAGAAGTCAAATATAACATAATTGTTAAAAAAAAATTGTATATGTATTGACATACACCATATCAAGACATACGAACCCTATTTTTGAAATTATTTAAATTTAAAAGATAATAGGAAATGGAATATAAAAAAAATTATAGATTTTATTTTGATCAAGGAAACATATTCTAAGGAAACACTATCAACAGTCTATTAATAGTATTACCACAATAGTGATCACAGTGATAATATTTCTAATATTTGATGAAAAGATATTAATCACATTTCAAAGAAGTTCAATTAATATTTATTTGAAAGTTATTTATATAACAAAAAGATAGAAGCCGTCTTTAAGTTAGACGACATTTTCACCATTTATAAAAATTTACAAGCCAAAGTCGAAAGTTTTGTTCAATGTGTGTTATCCATAATACTGATATTCTATGTGAGAGATTAGATAGGAGATTTTTAATTACAATTCTTAACTTATATCTTAACTATGTCATACAAATCATTAACTATATCAATTTGATGAAAGTGTACATGTATCGTATATCACTTATCCGAGCTTGAATACACTTTTCAGTGTACAACGCTTCAGACACGAAAAGGACTGAAATCCCTTGTACAATGCATAATTCACAAAACAAAAGAAAAATAAAATGAGAATAAAAAAGTACGCAGACATCAGGCAGAAAGCAGAAAGCGGCAGGCAGCAGGCAGCAGGCAGTCGAAGTGGAATTTTAAAAAATACTCATTCGCATTTGAACATTTCCACGGTAAGGACGTTTGAGTAGTTGTTCAGCGGTTGACGTTCACTTTAGGCAACTACGTTGTGCGTGTGTGTGATTTTGTGTGCGCAGAGCAAATGAACCACCACAACAAACGGTACAAAACGTCCTGTTGAGAGCGTAAAAGAGAATTTAGTGAAAGAAACAAAAAATATTTGAAATTCTTTGTACAGCGTACAGAGTTGTTTGTGTATCCTCGGTGTTATAGAAACGAAAAACCCACCCAAACGTTGAACATTTCTGAACCAAAATCTTAAAAACAATAACGTGTAAATTTTTGGAAGCCGTCAATTCGTCAAACATCAAAAAAACAAACAGAAATTAATTAAAAAATTTCTCTAACAAGAAATGTCAGAGAAGCCCGCAGAATATCTCAAAAGAACCTGCCTCATCTGTGGTTGTCATACGAACCAAACCATCAACATTTACGAACCGCGCAGTGGGCCAAATATTGTGCAATTGATACAAGCAAAATTCAAATTCCAAGTAAGTTAAAATCCCTTTATACGTAGGTGTGTATTTTGACCTATAAGTTATTAAAAATATCTATCGCCTATATATGTTAGATTGAAATTCAATAATGTTGTAACAGATTCACTCATCCCTCCTACCTCTACTTTAAAAAAATACAAACGAAAAAATCAATAAGTGAACGAGTCGTGTGAGATGAGTCATACTCGGGTTCACAATTTTGAAACCGAAAGGTATAAATCGCGGGTGGTACGTGTAGTGTTCATGAGGCCAGCTACCCCTCAGCAGCGAAAAACCGACTGACGTATTGGGCCGCAAAGTGTCTCAGCATCACATCAATTATTGTTCTTTTTAATTAAAATGATAAAATTATTTGTCCATTAAAAGGTCCTAAAGGAAAAGTTCTTTATGGCACAGTTGTTACTATTGCATACCAATGAACACCAAACTATTTTTTGTTTGCGTAATTGCGTAGGATTTATAGATCAATATTGTTACTACAAAGGTCATACGTCATTTGTTTTGTAAAAGAATCTTACGAATACCAACAATACTTCACAATTTTTTATGTTCTTTCAAAACGCCGGTCAAAAAAATTACCAGATAACCCATGTTTATATTTTTCCTATATATTTTAGCATTTCGCTCCGTCCAATACATGAGACAACCTTGCACATGCAACTGCGATAACGAGTGTCAGCACACATGTAGTACAGAAAGCAGATGTCACTTGAGCATATCCCGTTTGTTGTAACTTGATATCGCTAATCGTTGCTCTGGTATCCGTTGTTATTGTTGTGTTTTGCGGTACAAAATCGAACTGCTTTATATGTTTATTACTACAGTTGTGAGGTTTTTGTTGAATCAGAACGATTTGTGTTATACAAGAAACATTATACAAGTATCCATTATGATTGAATAATAAAAATGGAATAAATATGCACCCTCTTTAGCTTTATAGATTTGCTGTACTTTAGATTTTAAAATTCATTTTATTTTAACATAAGACAGTAGTAATAATTTCTTACTAAATTCTTCTTAGATATTACTGGGGAATTCCCAGATGTTGTGATTTGACAACGAACTGTGGAAAATTTCAATATTATAACATTTAGCGACAACTTCAATATGCGATTTTCAAATTGATTACAGGAACAATCCAAATTTGACACTTTGAAGCCCAATATTTCAAGATCTATAATTTTCTAAGATACCAAGTTAAAGGTTTAGTGCAAAAAGTTGCACAGAATATTGCAATTTACCGTTGTGAAATCGAGGGACTAGATTGTCAGAATCTTGTTCTAAATTCACTATATTAACTTATAGTGTTGTTGCTGCACTGGTATGTAGCAAACACAAAAATCTATTATGCCGGCTACAACCATTCAACCGCAATTCGTGCTCTGCTAAATGCTTTAAATGTAAATTGATCGATTGGTCATAAATATCGGAAGTACGGACTATGCGATGAAAACAATATAAGCACTGAATGGTGACATTTTTTGACGAAACCTAAAATTTGGATGTTGTTTGTTAAACGGTCATTTTTCCTACCTTCGTTACACTTCTTTTCTTATATGCTATCAATTAAGACTTCAAGAAGAAATTCTCACAACCACAGCAGGTAATCCACATGCAAAGTGCACAACAACAACCAGCGGCAGCTGCTGTTGTGGAGGTTGATAGTTCCTGCCTTGCAAATCCCAACCACCGTCATGTTTTGGTTACACTCGCCGGTACGCTTCCATGCTGTCGTTACTGTCATTGCTATTGTTTTTGTTATTTTTATTGGGAAATATGCATGTTAACATAGGCGGCAGCTGCATCATAAAATTTTTGATGCTGTTTTGTGTGTTTTGCTGCTCCAATTTCTGCGGGTCTTATTTTAACTTCCTTTTCTCCATTAACCATTCTCCTTTTTTGCGTATTGTGTTTTGTTTTGCGACCGGACTTTTACATGCGTAAGCAATCCACGGCTGATGTAAAAAGAAGAAAAGTACGACAGATGTGTTTGAAGTAATGAAGCTTAATATTATTGTTTGTTGTTGGGAATCAGTGGCGAATAACGACATTCGAAATCCTTAGACATAGTGTATACATATAGTAAATGTATTATCTACTCTTTAAAAATGTAAGAGTTTTCGAAGCGTGTAGTCTAGAGTTGTTTTAACCACTAAATAAGAAGCTGGATTATTTCAAAATTATATATTTGGTCATAAAAATTACGACATATAAAACTAGTTAAAAAGTAAGTAAGCCGACTTTTTATTTCTACAACTTGGAAACGTGTTTCTCTATTAAAGACAACTAATAATTAGATAATTTAACAGTTTTACTTAAAACGAAGTTAAATTATTAAATATAAGAAAATTTCCTACAATTTCATATTATTTATAATTATTTAGAATATCTACTTTGTATCTATTTAAACACTTGAAACCATGAACTAAAAGGTAGGCAAATTTAGAAGTAAACATACGCTCATATCGCCTGGCAATGCGATATAATGCACCTGGTCTCTATTCAGTCATTCTTTTCACCTTTTCGTCTCAGATAAGTTTTATTTTATCTGCCAGGTAATAGAAAGTAAACAATAGTTAGAAAATCCTTCGATCCTTGGGTACCCATAACGCGTGTCGTTTGCCGCAGTCCACTTCTAATGTCTGTTACAGCTGCTACTAATTATCTAAGCCGCGGCAATAACTGAATGGGCACTTATCAGTAAATTCCAAAGCGCACGCGCATGTTTAGCTGACAAACGCAGTGGTAAAACATTTTTCAAACCACTGATAAAAAGTAGAGCAGTATGATCATCTGTCACTCAGGCAATTCTAAGACGAGTTAGCTTAATAGGCAGCACCATCAGAAAGGGAGAGGAGGTGGTAAGTGTGAGTTAATGCTTACTTCAGTTAAATGGGCACAACTACACTAACCTAACCCTTTCTGTTACCATTAGGAACGCCACTACTCTTTATTACAACTACGCCTGTGACTCGGGGTCGTGTTTGTTTTTTGTCAGCAGCTGTTATCAGTCCGTGGAGTTTTATACACGCAGGCGCAATTTTCGTGCGTGCTTTTGGTGTTGATTTGGCTGGAAGTGGAACGGTGTGTTCGCTTGTGAACACGTTATACCATGGCAGGTGGTTTCCTCAAACTTCTCATTTTTGTTTTTTATTCATTTCCAATGGTCCCGCATAGAATGCACGCGTATCTGGTGCCTCGCACTCGGTATTGTTGTCGTTGTGCTGTTGATTTTTCTGGTTTAGTCGTTTCACATTCAACTGAACTGGTAATTACAACTCAGTTTTTGCACCTTTCCATTTATTTTCGGTTGAAGGCTTTGTTTTCATTTTCATTGCTTTGCATTCACAATTTTTAATTTTCTTATTGTGAGAAATTAGCAAGAAGAAGTAGTAAAGGGGATGTCGGTGCCTAATCAGTTTAATTTGCAGTTGTGCTTAGAGAAGTGCACGCTGGACTAGTTCACGTAATTTTACGTTGCAGGTGGCAAAAAGATCCTTCGCTTCAAGCATTGACAAATTATTGTAACAATATTTACTCATTCAAGACATACATAACATATAACATAACTCGATATAAGAATATTACCTCTTGTTAAATCCTTCTCATTATCAAAGTATTGGCATACATATTTATTCATAACTAATCCAATCACAAAGCAAGTGTTCATATCTATCATATCAGAAATCTATTATAGACTTAGTTCTTGTTTAATAAATAAATTTTAATTAGTAAGAATAATGTTTTAATGATAACACTAGTAAACTGAATGATTGGATAGTTATTCAAATGTATGTCTGATAAATTAAATACAAAGAGTAATTTCGGTTTTTGGTTTCATTCGTCCCATTATTTTCTATTTTATTGATTTGTCAATTAATGTTTTTTTTTCTTTTTAGCCACTAAACGAAGATAAATACCTGTGCTTCAGTTGCAACAACTGGCTTATAAATTGGCACTCCTTACAGGCGCTTAACAGTAACGACGCTGAAAGCCCTTCCGGTACATTTCGATCCCATTTGAACAGTATGGTACAGGAGAAGGGAGCTAGTTCATCACAACAGAGTGTTGCAGTATGTCGGCCTATTGCACAGGTACGTCCATGTCAATTGACAACTGACGCAATATCGCGCTGCAGCATAAAGGCCTCGATTGCTTCCATTCCTCTGTGTGAACAGCAGCAAGCAAACACAACAAATATTACTGCCGCTGTTAGTCAAACTTTTAAATCAACCAATTTTACAAAGCGTAGCTTTCGTCACCGACAGCTCCTTACCGCACGCCCCATTCAACGTAAGTGCATGCGCAGCTGTAATAATTGTGGCCGTTCTATTGTCATACGCTCACGATCTACTATCACAAATATGGCTACCGCTAAGAAGATCTACCAAAATGCCAAATGCAGTAAATGCCGCGAAATCAGTAACTGGCGTAAGATATTACTGCAATTCAACCGACACGCAAAGTTCGCATCAGCAGCAGTTATACCATCACATATCACCAAAGCGCAGCCAACAAATCTAGTCAAAAGCTCAGATATAAAGCGATCTCTTCTTTCTAAAAAAAATAAAAGTGTGGAATCGCATAAGCCACGAATTGCTAGAGTTAAGCCTTTACATCTATGCAATACGGGGCGCCCGCAGCAGAAACAAACAAGCACCGGCAATCGTCAAATTATTTACACCAGCAGCCACAGCTTACAACAACCAGTGGTTGACGGGCATCTTGTAGCCCGATTGAGCCGTTTAGGCACAACTTTATCCCGTGAACTAATTGAAAGCGATGGTGAAACCACAACAATTACGAGAACGCCATATACAGTAGCGCAGAACTCCTTTCCCGCCTCACAAAAATCACTCAACACACTAAGTCAAATGGAAGCCGATGATATTTTAGTACAATTCAATGCAACCATAGCGGAAGTACTTCCGACTCTTATCGATACGCACAATCTACGAGCCAACAAGACAGGATGGAACACAAACCGTAAACTTACGTATCAAGTATCTGTAACCGCATACGAGTCAGACGAAGTGATAGACTTGAGTGATGAGTAGAATGCTTGCAATAAAAATGCTAATGATTTCAAAATGCTAAGCCAAAATCAAACTTAAATAACGGAAAGATGGGAACCTATTCAATATGAGCAATTACACAAAAATGTTCACAAATAGCCACAAATTTTAAATAATTATTAGTCAAATTTCTAGCCTCATTTATCGAATTAAGTACAATGTAGTCAGTCGTATGCAGAAGACACAAATTATATAATGAATGTATAGAATAGTCCATGTTTTTTTATTATACTCATTTATGTTAAGTTAAATTATTTGAAGTAAATGTTAGGAATTAACCAGGTGCTTTGCATCTGCCTCAATTCAGTTCTATTATTTCGTAATTCTCTCCTTTGACTGTTCCACACAAATGATTACTCCATTTACAAGATCGTCTAAGTTGTTAAATTTTTTTTATATTTTATTGTAATTTAAGCTAATCTATGTAATATTAGTACCTTATTTTATTATTAGACGATATCCTGGAGAAAAGCATACTTAAATCTTATTGCAGACTGTAAATATTGTTCAGGTACGACAGTTTAAATTAAGTTTAAGTAGAATCTTATATACATCTAAAAAGTCATATTTGATTAGATCCTTGACTTATTATATCGTTCAATAACTAATATAATCCGATCTATTCACCATTTGCAAATCAATTAAAGCGCGAAATAAACAAGTAAACAAACAATTCATAAAAAAGTTTTTTAAGTAACGTGAAATCAAATGAAAGTAGCCATTTTTTTAGGATTTATCCGATTTATCATCACAAATTCATCCGATTTTTCATCCGATTCATCCGACAAATATTAAAGATCAACACAAAACGCTAAATTAATTCCTAAGATTGGACAACATTTTGGACTAGGATAAAGGGAATTTAAAAATTTCTTACAAATGTAATAAATATGCGACTAATCAAAATTGAAATTACAGGTATGCACTTAAAGAAGGAGCTTTTAACTCCATTACCAATTTCTTACCACTGAAAGTATTTAAAAATTGAATACAAATATAAATAGAATAATTTTCATTTTTCAGGCTATATGCTAGATATAACTAGTAGAATATTACCAAACTAGAATTGAAAATTATTATTAAGAACTTGAATGATTAATTTGCAAGCAACTCACATACCAAGGACATAGGTAAGTATCTCGTACAACAATAGACACAAATGTGCTTAAAGTAGTTTTCCCATTACCAGATAAGCATAGATAACTAAATCATACTGGAATTCGATCCCATATAACAACGCAGAAAAAAATCCGACAATATCCGTCATTACAAGCCACAATTTAACTTTAATCATAATATCTATAAAAATACAAACATTTTGCGCTATTTGTACACTTCCATCTAATGACTGTTTAATATTTTGTATGGGCTACTACTTTAAAAAGTTTTCATTCAATGACGAAAATCAATTAACTATGAGACAAGTTGATTAACAAACCATATATAGTTCATATCCAAAAAGTTTCCTCGCAGTGGAAATACACAAGCTTTCACTCAGTCGAAACCTATCCATACTTATGTGGGCATTACAGTAGTCCAATGGTAGTACAATGGCGAGTGAAACATTACACCAGTAGAAAAGTTTTAATTATCATTGTGGTCTTAGATTCTTTTTTGTATTCAAGCATTCACTTACTCGAAGTAAGTATACTATTTGAATCCCAACCAGTACTTAACATATAACACAAACCATAATTGCCAATGCAGAGTATGATATGTAGAAGAGAGGAGAATATATATAGTCAATCCTCTATAATGAAGTTTTGTGAAAGACACAGCGATTTTTTATATTTTTTCATATATTTGAACCTCTCTATAGCGAATTCCTCTCTATAATGAAACTTCTTTGCAAGCTGCATCATACTCGACATGAGCTCGTGGATATGTTATTCACTTTAGAATAGCGATAGGAACTTTTTTGGCTTGCGAGTGGAATGATGAAGATTGGAAAGAACATCATGTGCATTTTAAATGAAAGAGTAATCACCAAACAAATGCGTGTGCTTTCGCTTTGAATATGAGTGGTAGAGCATTTTTAGAGAGGTTTACAAATTTTGAGTCTATTAATTTGCTGAAAGAGTTTCTTGACAAGGAAAAAGGTAAAATGTCCAAGCAAGCAAAAATAACTGACTTTTTTGAGTTGAATAAATTAATAAATTATACAAATTTAAGTTCTATATAATATTAAATAAAATAGTAGTTAATAAAAATATTTTTTCTAAATACGAACAAACATATTAATGTTTTTAAAATTACGTACGTTTATATAAATAAATATGAAGTAACGTACATAAATTTAAGTAAAATGCAAAAAAAAAACCCAACAGAAGCAAATTTGTTTAACTTCTCTATAATGAAGAACTATAAATTTAGGAAGCCAATATTATATTTGCAATCACATATTTTAAAATTTCTATACTAGAGATACGAGGATATATAGAATATATGCAATATGTGCTAGGAAACTAAATATTCCCTTCAGTGACTAAGGTCGAATTTTTTAAAAATTATGTCATATGTAGTATTTTATATAGCCTAGGAATTAGAACAGCGTATTGTTCAAATTATAAACAACCTACTTACAAAATAAATGAATATTTTAGTATTTACAATTTACAAATATTTCTCTAACAACAAGTCACTTCTTAGTTTTACTTAGTTTTTCAAATGTTATTGCCCTTGAACAGAATTGACCTTCTTTTAGAACACACCAAAAAAAGTAAAAATCTTACTCACCTACAATTATACGAATAGCGGTCATGTTAATGCAGCTTCAAGGAGTAGAAGATAAATCAAACTTCACTGATGTGAGTTAAAAGATATTAAATGCATATATAAATATAGGTATATGTAGATCCATTTTTTGAATACAAATACAGAGTTATCACCAGTAGAATCTCAAGCGGATGCAAGAAAGCATGATAATTGGTATAACGATCTCTTATATACCATAAAGAACTTCCAATTGGCTTTGGAAACGTGTGACATTTACGGTACTAGATAATGGTGGTGATGTTTTTGTGATAACTTATAGTTTTATTTTTAGTTAAGTTGATTTATTATAACATATGCTATCATTACTCCTAGCCAGTCATAGTATGGTTAAGGTATTTAGGTTAGGTTGGGTAATAACGGGAATCCCAAGAGATTCACTTCGGCTTATAGGTCCATTGTGTTACCGTATAATTAGAAACTCACATCTTAGAACCACTTAGAACCTTTGACAAAGTTTATAATGCTATTTACAGAATAAATTCTAAAATCATGTGACCTGAAAAAGAATATCGAGTGGACACTTACCATTTTTTGACAGATCCATATAGTTTGGCAGTAGCGACGGTGATATGGAGGACTTCATAACGGATTTTGGTAATAAAGGTTGGCTTGTTGCCATCATTACATATAAAGAAATTATTGCTGAAAATAAAATCAAAAATCGCAGTCAAAAACGATTTCCACATCAAGTATCCTAGCACCGTTTGCTAACTGTTTCAGGTTACTTGGTGATATTTCATTGTGATCGTGAACCAAATATGCAGATACTGCCCATATTTGCCCCCAGGGTCTCTCAATACTTACTGAGGTTTGGTCTTTGTCACTATACTGCGAAAGCATGAGACCGTTTTATTTTTTATTTATTAGTATGCAAGATCTTGGGTTACCCTTACTAACCGCATATATTAAATGAAAACTATTTGTCCTGATTCCGTATATAAGATCGCTATAAAACCAAGGTACTTGTATCAGAACCATTTCGGCCTTGTTTTTGCTAAGGCATTGCAGTGGCGCAGGTTACATCGCCGTTACCATTACACCGAGCATGCTATCCTCCTCTAATTCATTGCCTGGGTTTAGAAGCTCTTCTTCATCGAAGAAATAATACGTACCCATGCTTTTCTCTGATGCGATTATGGGAGTTAGAGAGGGAATGGACATGATAACATCTATATTCATCGGTGAGTCAAAGGTGTTAACAAGCAGTGTTTCTACTGGACTCACTACAGTTGTGGGCGCAGGTGAGTCTAGAGGTGTTAATAGACAGTGTTTCTAGTGGACACACAACACAACAGTTGTGGAATCCAGGAACACGCTCTGGGTCGGCTAGATATTTGTTCCAACAACCATGTGTTTGGCGCATCGCCATACCTCACCAAGTGAATAAAAATCAGATATTGTTTTGATCGATTTTCTTGCATAACATTGAATTCAAATTAAAAACAGAAACCACCAAACCAGTACCAGGATGTGAATAAACTAATTCAGCAGAGTTCAATTAATTGCACGGCATGCAGCTCTTGTTATTTGATTTCCAATAAATCGGTCTTAAATACGTTAGCTGGTACTTTTGATGAAGTGCTATAGTTTCTAATACAATATCTTATAAAGAAAAACACTTAATTTTCGTTGGAAGAATAGCTAAGGGGCAAGAATTAATAGCTGTTGGTTTGGTTTAGGGGCTGCATAAGGATTAGAAATTACTCGTGTTTATGGTTGGTTTTCTCACCCAAACATACTTACTCAGCATGAACCATTAGAGTACAGCGGTGTCTCTAAACAGTCGTCTAAGCAGTTTATACTAGTGCTGTTTGTATTTGGCTTTGCAAAGTCTTTGGAAAATCAGATTAATCGAATAGTAAACGAAGTCTTCGAAATTGGAAATAAAATCGGATAATTATTAATCCAAAGTCTTCGAATATTCGTATTTGCGGTGTTTATTCGTAGGGAAATTATTCGGAAACTTCGTGAGCAAAAGTTAAACGTGCATCACACAAGATGTTCGAGAGGTCATAGAATTTGCTTTGTTTGTACGATTTTATGTTTTTTTGGTATATATAAATAAATAAAATATTAACATTTTTAATAACTTATATTTATAATTTATATTAAAAAAATATAAAATAAAAATTATAAAATTTATAAAATAAAAATATATAGAATAAAAATTTTATATAGACTATAAAATACATATGTAGGAATTTGATAATATTAATATTTATACATTTATAAAAATATTATTTTTATTTTCTTGTTAGTAATGGAAATTTAAATTTCTTTTATACTTTAATTTACATTTTATTTATCTTACTTTTTTTCTAGAACTAAGGATTTGAAAATATTCCATAAATAGTAAATCGTACTAACAGTAACTACAACAAAAAGATCAATTTTATTATGCAGAAATAAATTTGCGCTTACCTGCGTGAACATCACACGTCATACAAGTCAAATAATTATGTATTAAGGAGCATGACACGTTTTTACATAATAAATTTTCAAGGTTTTCATTTGTTTTTTAAAAAGGAAAAATGAAAACTTTTATAACTTTTCTATTATTAATAAAATCCATAAATATTAATATTATTAAATTCCCACATATGTTATGTAGTATTTTATATTATATTTAAAATTTTTATTAATATAATTTTTTTTTATATAAATTATAAATATAAGTTATTTAAAATGTGAATATTTATAATAATATGTGATAAAATAAAATAAAAAAACACATGTGCATATTTTCTGCTAAAATACCAAAAAAACGCAAAATCGTACAAACAAAGCTAATTCTATCATCCCTTGAACAAGTTGTGTGCTGTAAGTTTGTTTGCATTTTGTGTTCTCACTTTAACTTTTGCTCACAAAGTCTCCGAATAATTTCAATGCATATAACACCGCAAATCCGAATATTCGTGGACTTCGGATTTACAAAAAATCAGATTTTGTTTCCAACTTCGAAGACTTCGATGAAATCCGATAACACATTCGAATAATATGAACAGCACTAGTTTATACAGTAATTATAGTTAAATATATATACATATGTAATGAACAGAAATTTCCCATTAATATTATGTTTCAGTGAAATTAAGTTGTTTTTTCCAAACAAAATTCAGTTTTAAGGTTAGAACGCAATTAAGAAAAATTGTCATAATTTCGTTGAAACGAATACTGAAATTAAGGGATATTTCAAATGCAACTATGCGTAAGATACAGTGTTTGTTAAGAAACAAAGTCTCCTGCCATTTTGTTGTGTTCAATCTAGCATTGCCAGCTTTTAAATATGTGAACAAAATTGTTTAAAAAGGTTTGTTCTAATATGGCGTTTACACTGGCTGAAAATGGCTCATTCTGAATGAGTCATTTGAAAGTGTTTACATTCGTTGTATTTCATTTTTTCTCATTTCAAACAGCTGATTTTTCAACTTGCATGTTGATTTAATTTTTGGTCTGTGCCAAAAAAATGTTACAGGAAGGTTAAATATACCTTCAAACCTTACAATATAAACTGAAAACTTGTTTCTAGATTCGATTTATTTATTTTTGGGAAGTAGAAGTTCCAAAAATTGGTGCATCGTTTTAAAGAAAATGCAACCACCAAACATTTGTTTACCTTTTTTTGTAAATATGTTAAAAACAGCTTTTTCAAACTGTCAAAATGCCATGAAGAGCTTTCATTTAGGGTATGTTCAATGGATTCCTTTGCATTTGGAACGTATGTGGAATGCATTCGAACGTCATACAGAATGTGAGAAAATTGCTCATTTTTGTGCTTGAAATTTTATATGCAAGAATGAGCCATTCGATACTCATTTTCGATTTTTGACCAAAATGAGCCATTTTCGGCCAATGTAAACGCCGTATAAGAGTGATTATTTCCATCATTATATTTATATTAATTATTTTAAAAATCATCCATTGCATTCTTCGCGTACAACCTGGCATCGATTTGCAATAGTTAAAAATTTACAGCAATTTCTTAAAAACAGGTTTTCAAGTTTGCTTCAAGAGGTTTTGGATTAATTGTAATAAACGAAATATATTATTTGTGTTTATTTCCGTCTATGTAGATACCAATCAAATTATTTTTTATTTCTAAGAGAATTTAATTTAATTCTTTATGTCAAATTTTTAGAATTTTTTTACTATTGTATGAACACTTTATACCTACATACAAGATTGAATTTAAAATGAAATAAATTTTACATTGCAATAAAATCGCAATAACGAGCACAATATATATACATATGTATATGGATAATCGTAGCTTAATGGTTAATACATGATGGTTCAGCCTGATCGGATTATATTTGTATATTGTTAAGGCTATGTAAAATTCGCTGCTTTAAGAGTATATTTTAGTAAATCACAAATTTAAATTGTAAAAAACACTGAAAATTTATGAAGTTAAAAATACTTTTTATAAACATTTTCAGCATATTCGAACTTAGTTGCCATTGTTTTGTTCGTTTATAAATTATTCGAAAAAAGTTCAAAAAGCTCATTTATAGTTCAAAAATTGTTCAACGTTATTGTTATATATTTTGCTTGAATATTTTTCTGTAGAGTTGCAAACTGGCAGCACCGTGATTCTTAGTTTGTTTTTTATTTTCCGCGTGTGAAGTGGTTTGCGTTGAATGTCGGTGTGGTGTTGAGCAAAAATTGTAAGAAAATTAATTTAATATTAATAAAATTCTAAAATATTCTTACTTTTCTAAAAAATGGAGTCATTCTGAACCTTAGTAATCAAATTATAATGACGCTGATAAGTGCTACAGGAATAATGTTCTCTTGTTGTGTTGTCGAAATAAAGAAGCGAATTGAAAGAATGTGCAAAATTTAAAACTGCTTGCCACAAGTATGGGAGAATAAGAAATTAAATTCTACATCAAATTGCACCTAAACATTTGCAAGCAAATCAATTAAAAAATAAATAATACGCATAACTATATCACTAAAAAACAATAAGGAAGTTGAAATTGTTGCATTTTTCTCGTTTTACTTAAATAAATCGATAAAATAAAATACGTGCGACGACTGCGCTGACTTGACGATAGCGTTACCGTTGACGACGTAGACAACAACAAAAACACTATGTTTGTGTTTAAGCAAGCATGGGGCTATTTTTGTTGTTATTTATATTGAATTTAAAATCTACTTATCATTGAATATCTTTTCGTAATTTGAAGTTCTTTATATTATTTTAATATTTTCTTTTCAAAATTATTTTGTGCTTTGCAGTGTGTTTTGAAATTTCAAATAACAAAATTTGTGCTTATTAAAATTAGGACAAAATTCCGCAAACAGTAACTGGATTTGTAAAATATCAGCATCAGGTGAACAAAACGCTAGTGCTAAAAGGGGAAAATAAGGAATCGACAAATTAACAAAGAAGCAACCAAATTTCAAAGTTTCTGAAAGGAGAACACGTACAGGGTGAGTAATTTTGACGTTTATTTGTAAGTTTTTTCTGTTATTGTGTTTTATAATATTAATTCACTGATTTGACAACGGCACGATTTTCGAATGACGCAGTTAGAATGCATTTTTTTTTATTAAGTTATTAGTTTTACTATACATATTTCCTTTCTGATTATGGGAATTTAGAATGCAAATAGAAATTGCAAAAACAACTTTGCAACAACATAAAATATTTGTAATCTGCTTTTTGCTTGCTGCTTCCTGCTTCCTGGTTATTGTGATCCAATCGAACTCAAGTGGGTGGTTGAAAAGTTTTATTTACATGTGTTTCCTTCTGGTGGTCTGTTGCTTGTTCATCTTTCTTCAGCCAGTCTCCTCCGTTGCACTGTCTTTTGCCCTGTTGATGTCCAACCGCGCACTTCGCCTGCGTGTTGTGATTGTGATTGGCACTTTCGGCGATGTCATTGCACGTTAAATTGTTCAAATATTTCATTTATTTTTATGTAGAAATATTGCAGCGAATGTTGTGATTCTTAACATTTAAATTAGCAAATTTATTCAAGTGCTCTCGATCTTCACCCCTTATCACTGATACCGCTGTCACCGTCTACGTGCTTGTTTACTCAAAATTTATCTTAACTGTTGTCAACGCTGTTGACTGCTTTCATTCATCTGCCTTAACTTTTTGAGATTTATCAATTTTTCTTTGTTTCATACGCACATACATACTTTAAATCGGATTTATGCATTTATTATTAATACCGGAACTGTCCTTAAACATTAAATAAGGCATACCAGTTAATTACTAATTAAAAACATTCGGTAAGTGAAAAAAGTATTTATATTCGTATAAAAAAGAAATATCAAAATATTGTAATGAATGATTTCGTATAAGTATCTTATGTAAAATAATTGTAATGCTAATTCCATTAACGACATGATCTGCACCACAGAAACGCTCGTCTACACAGACGACCAATCGTTGCTCACCCATCCCAACAAGTTAAGATACTAGTAGCACTGTTAGCACTGTTAAGATACTAGTATCTGTCACCACCACCTTTTTTATCATCTTACTATTTAGAAGATATAGTCTTAAAACCAGAATTCTATGACCATTGGATCAGCATTCTGTGTACCTAATATTATGCTTTAGCATCAAAAAACGAGTCTTTGGATGATAATTTAATCAAATAATGTACATGGTTTTACTATATATCTTTTTGTAAGTATTTCTAAAGAATCTGCTACATATTTTAAACAAAATATGTGTATCACTCATATGCTAGAGACTTTAAAAATGGAGCTTGAAGTGATTGAATCTATTGTATTGTTATAGATGGCATATATATATATGGATCGATCGACTTTAAAATAATTAATTGATTGATAATTGAAATAATAAACTACATAATATATAAACCATAACTCGAATCGAACCTTCATTCTGAAATATTGTACCAATTTCATAATTTTGGCACAAATCACTCAAGGTAACTTCCCGTTGTATTCGAGGTAAGTTGCTGTGTATTTGAGTTTCACAAATCGTAAATAAGGCTAGATGCAGGGTGAAGAAGTGGTAGGTGTGTAGTATAGGTCACTGATCCGGCACACGCTTTGAGTTTTTTCTTCTTTGTATTTGAGTGGCAAATGAAAATGTAGCATAAATGTGTTAGTTACTTTTTGGCTTGGGAATTGAAAGTTTAATCGAAACCTACAGTTATGAAAACAAACTTCGAAGCATACCCAGATACGATACGAGTTTGTAATTTATAGATAGCATCTAAAATTTGATAAAAGGAAATTGAACAAATAAAATGAGATTCTCATTATTTCGCAAAAATTCCATTAACTTTCATTGTGAAGCTGAAAGAAAAGAGTCCGTATACTAAAAAGTCACACACGATGCGTGCCAAATTATTTTGTCATGTGCTTATAGTGATGAAAGCAATAGCAATTATAACGGTTTTATAAGCAGCCTGTATGCGTCATCGGCTTGAATGCTGGCTTAAATAGGAATGTATAAGTCAGCCACATATTATTGGTCACAGCTGTTGTTACTTAAACTTTATTGGCCCACCTCTGTTCCTTGTGACAAACAAAGCACTAACTGAAATGTTAATGTTGCAATTGAACTCTCTGTGTTTCGGGTTGTAAGTTTTTAATAGATGCCTCTAATGGCTAGCAAGTTTCTCAATATGCTTTGAAATACATGAAAAGTCTAAAATTGCCGTTCACTTGTACCACAATTCTTTTCATTGTTTTAAAAACGACTTTATGAATCACCAACGTGACCAGTAAGTAGAATGCTATAAAGATTTTGACTATAAAGATTTAAAGTTTCTGTCTGCGAAACCCGTCTGCCTGTTGTGTTTTGTGTTTAACAATCACAAAGATAAAATACATTTCTATACGAAAATGGTTGCCTTAACTTAAAAACTAATTATAGCTAAAAAACACTAAAAGCTAATTTCTCAAACTTTACATTCTATAGCTATGATGAGCTGGGCACCCGCCGAAAATTGCAACAGTATTCATTCTATATTATATTATATTATTAATTAACTCAAGGGTTTCCTTCACTTTTTCTCACAAATAAAATTATTATACTCGTATTTAATTCCAACCACTCAGTAAGTATCAGAAAGTAAGTTTCAGCACCCACACTTAACGAATATTTCAGTCATTCAATCACGTTGTAACCTGTGAAAATCTTATGCCAACTGTCTAAAAGAGAGAGTATTCTTGCGATAACGTCATACATACATACATCACAATAGGAAGTTAGTACAATTTGCTAATATTAAGCAAATATTTAGAATATTGCACGTCCTATATTTAAGTTTCTGATATCTTGTTCTATAATTTTATTTATTTTTATCTAGTAATAGTACAAAACAATGACATGTTATTTATTTTAACTGTGTAATTCAAAGTCTATAGAAATTTTAAAAGGTAAGGTCAAAATTAAGACTGTATTTATGCTATTGAATTTAGTTTCACCTATTTTTATATAATAAATTTCGTAATACAAGCTCTTTAGAAGAAAGCTTTTTTTCAAATCAAGTTTTATAAAAAGCGAAAAATCATGTAATTAGTGCAAATTTAATCGATATAGTTAGCTGCAGGTATGTCTTATCAATTGCAACTCATAATAATTTTGAACGTCTAGTTTTTATAATTAAAATAATTGCGCAAGAAAAAATACGGCTTAACTGCTTTTGCTTGTGTATTTCTTTAACCAATTAAATTTGATATACCATGGTTACGTTTGTAATTACCTACAAGCATCCACAAAATTTCGCTGATGTTTTCCTATTGTAAAGTATCTCAGTTGTTCATCGCTCTTAATCACTAAATAATTTGCTGCATTTAAAGCCACACTCCAACAGGCACGAACAAAGTTTTACCGAAATTATCTTGTGTTGAGAGTTGGTTAGAAATCAGTGAAGTATCTGGTATATTCGCTACAATTGTTTATAAATTTGTTATTAAAATATATATTTTCTTTCATAAGATACATTTTGAAATTGCTATGACGTTTTTACAGCTTAAGCAGAAAGACAATAGACAATAAAAGCTAGCAGAACAAAAAACACGTACTACTTGCAGCTACAAAAGCCAACACAACGCCGGTCAAAAGATAAAATAAAAAACAAAAAAATTGTAGACATTATCAGCCTTGTTCTGTCCGCTTAGCTTCTCCGAACACCTCGATCGTTCGTTTGGTACATACAAAACCAGTTAAATTTATTCACCTTTTCTACTTCACGATTGTTTGTTGTTTGCTGACTTTATGTATGCTATTTTGTACTTGAGAGGTTTCACTATCAACCGTCAGAATTTTGAGGCAATCTACTGGTTGAGTATGTTTCTCTCTTCTTTGGTTGAATATAAAAAGTATCTTTACTCGTCCACAATTTTGTAGCTGAACACTCGTATATTTCACTTAATACTACTTTTCGCGTATGTGAATTTCAAAACCCATCATGCAGTTAAGCTTTAAAGTCACTTAACAAATTTATTTAAAAAAGAATTGAAAAAAAATTAAATAATCTAAAATTACTATTATATTTGGCACATAAGTAAAACGTTTAAGCAAAAACATAAAAATATAAAGACATGTAATTTGCCTCTGTTAAAAAAAAACATGAATTCCTTCCGCTGATACAACCAACAATAGCACTTTACCAGTACAGAGAACTTTGAAGGCTATGGCGTAAAGAAAATCTTTTTAAATAAAATTAATTGCCCAAAATATATAGAATTTAAGTCAAAAATAGACGCAATGCTTGAACAGTTCAATAAAATCAAAAATTTTGAAGAAGATCACCTTTTATTAAACAAATTTTCAAGAAAATATTTGATAAGTATTGTTATGTAAATGACAGTATACGACCTGTGCTGTATGTAAACAAGCCAGTATAAAATTTCAGCAAAAATCAATTTTAAATTAATTTAAAAGAACTTGTGCATTTCAATACCAGTCATATATTTTAAGAAAAAAAAATCACAACAACAAGGTTTGTGCATCACATTCTAAAAAATAGTGTCTCACCTACCCATGCATACAAAGATATTTAGTAAGTGTGCGATAACAAAGAAGAGTAAAAAAAGTGTTTGTCTGTCAAGCCAGTATTAAGAAACTTAAGGCTTAGTTAGACGGTAAGTAACGTAAGAAATTAATTCAAAGCGAAATGCACAACAACCAAACATGCGCATTTGATAGGAACGAAATAAACAAAAACGGTGAACTTTGTTTATTTCGTTCCTTTCTTACCGTCTAACTGAGCCTTTACTTACGCATGAACTAAAAGCTATGTGTGCAAGCAAAATATGTTGTGTTCAGTATTGATTTCACGAGTACATCTGTTTAACAACCGATTTTAATAAGCACAGCTAATTTGAGTCACTCTGTTCACTATGCTATATATCAATATGGATAAGTTTTTTATGTACTCCTCTTTTGTGAAATCAATGTAAAAGTTTCATATACTTCTTAACACCAGTTAGTG